ACTATTTTGGATATTTCTCTCTTGTGAGCGAACAGATGACATTTCGCCGGAATTTGGCAGTTGGTTGGTTTCTGTTGGAGATTTTAAACGAACGCACTCATTATAAACTTTGTTTACAGGGTTTGGAAAAAATAAGTCGCGGCAAGCATGCCGTTGGTGATGCAGCTTAATTTCCATATTTTCCATAAATGAAGTGGTGCTTTAACATGCGCGGAATGCACTTAAAGGCATGGTACGTCCTCAGAGTTTAAAGATTTGTCTATTCCAAATCAACACGGGCTTCATACCGGAACAAGAAACATTGATAACATTTTCCTCGAATGATCTCGATGATTTACCGGATGCCGATCAGGTTCCTCATGACTTTTAGGTTTCGCTGTCGTTGAGTTTCACGGATAACGAATTTCCGCCGAGTAGGAATCCTCCTTGTTACCAGCAAAGCCCATAAGAAACGCACAACATATATTTAGTTCGCAATTAGAATTCGAGGAAATGGCGGATAAGTTCGGCAAGTCCCTATAGTATTTCCGCCCATTTCAATTATTTATTTATTTTCCTTACAACAGTGACAAAACCTAGTTCCATCAACAAACCTACGCCTGTTAGGTCAGCTGCTTCCGTAGATAACGCCTATTTTACCAGATGCTACCGAAATAAAGCAAGAGGATGTACCTCGAATTCAACCTCAACCATCACCACCAATAGACATGCTCAATTTAAACCAGCCCCAACCCCAGCTGCCGGTGCAAGATCCACAAGCCACAACGAGTGACGCTAGTTTCGATTTGCTTGGAGCATTCGGGGATGATAATTCATCTGGCATTGGCTCGGCTCCAATACCTGATATTTTAGGTAAGGATTCGGTAGATTCAAAAAAGTCTTAGACTTTTAGGCGGCCATCCAAATTAATATTTGCTAAGTTCTGAATTGAGACCTACATTTCTATTTTAGAAATTAATGTACAACCAACTTCAAATGCCAACCTTGATGATATCTTCGGCTCAGTTGCTTCATCGGCGCCGAAAATCAACCTGGAGTTTAATAGTTTTTCTGTAAACCAGCCGACACCAACTAGTGCAAACAAACCTGGTGTATTGGTGTGTGTCGCGTCAGTCTCAGCAAAATAGTCTTGCATGAACAACCAGAGCTCAGTACGTCATAGTTATTTTTCTTCTCTGTTTTTTGAAAGTAGTGCAATGAGGTATAGTTTTAGCAAACATTTATTCGATTTGAAATTTTTACTACTATAGTCTTTATTTTGCAGTATATTATATACATATATTTGCAGTATATTATATTTTCATTGATCCACTTAGTTAAGTTTAACTATAACGAAGCAAAATGATGTGTAAAACCAAGTAATTGCTTTTAAATCTAAGTAAAAAAATATAAAATTTAAATGATAATTATTAAAAAGATACATGCATGCATATATACGTTAAGAACATAAATATATATAGGATATAAAATTTTAATCGCTTTGTCAACTTAATTGCGGCCCTGAAAAGGGCCTCTTGGTGATTGGTATATATGTATTTATCTAAGCATAAAATTTTAATCTCTTTGTTAATTAATTGGCGGCCCTGAAAAGGGCCTTTAGATAAATCATATTACTTGCCTGCAAATAAATAAGTTTATATTTGTATAAAAGACGCTTGATGATTTTTTAAAACTAGGGACTTACGTAGCATGCAAGTATTTTAATTTTAGGAGTCTGAAATACTGAGATCAGTGCGTGTGAAATGCGGACATTGATTCATGCTGCAAGTAAAGAACGGTTAATTTCTACAAATTTAAAAACGCTTTAGTTCAATACTTACCACATGTTTGGTATTTTATGCAATACTTACGGTTCTATAATGGTACCATATGGATCGATCTAGGTCAGAGTTTTTTTGGCTTTTCTTTTTCTTTTGTGGGCATTTTCAACGAGTTCTTTATTTAATTTTCGTATTTTGAAGAACATTCTTGCCCTGAAAAATAATTTTTTTACTTTAATGTCGCATTGAATTGTTGCAGCATGCTCAATGTGAGTTTTTACAAAATCATTTGTAATGAGCAAGCCGTCTTCGTTCAATGCCTTAAAGACTGACTCAAGACTTCGCATATGGACCATCATAGAGGAGCTTGGTAGGGATAACTCACCCTCATTAAGGTGATCCGCCCAGGAGAATGAATGGTCGTCATTGCTCCTGAACGACGTGCTGGGAATGTCATCCTGCAGCTTGTGGCAAATATATCCCGCTAAATGCTCGAGTCCGTCTAGCTCCAAATCCTCGAATTCCGCTTCTTCAACCGGCCACAGTTCTGCATTAGAGCTTAAGTTTTTCAGCAAAATACCTGTAAATATGGTGAAATATATATGTGCGATTATTAATAAAATATATTTTTATATTTAAGCCGAATGAAATAGATAAAAAATTATTTTGAATTACTTGTAAGCGGAGGCTGCGTGATTTCTATGTCAGGCGTATCATCCTCTTCTACATTAGCAGAATCGGATAATACGCCCTTGTTGTGTCCCAGCAGGTATAGTCGCAGACGGTACTTGAATTCCTGTTGGTCAGGGTGATCATGTAACCCGCCTTTTGACCGAATAATGCCGAAGAAATTTTCGAGTACGTCTTGGTTTAGCCGATACGTCAAGACATACTTGACATTAAAGCGAGCGAGCATTCCCAGAAAGTTTCAAACCCAGAATTTGTGAAAGACAAATCCAAAGTTGATTCTACCTTTACTCCATTAGTATGAATTTCAAACGTACTTGACCCATCATTTAAACATCTGAGAAAAGTTTTATTTATTTCATTTTTCAATATTTTTCCTTTATAGTTTTCAATTCTGTCCCCCCATAGTCTTGTTTTAGCATTAAAGTCGCCCAGTAACATAACATTACTAAAGCCTGCAAGTACGCCCAGAAGTCTAACAATTTCAAGCTCAAAATCAGCAGAACTTATGTTTGGAGGAAAATATACCGAGCAGATTGTTAAATTGTCTACCAAATTTAGTGTTTTAGTTATTAAAATATCAAATCTTGTATTAAACCTGACTCTCTCCATTTTAATATTTTTCCTACTTGCTATAGCTACTCCGCCATAACCATCGTTCCTAATCTTTTTAATAATATTAAACCCTATTAACTTGTGATCATTTTTGTGATCACCATGCGAAGAAATCTCTTGTAAAACTACAATGTCAATATCATGCTTGTGAGTAAAAAAGTCTATATAGTTTTTGTTAGTCTTAAGACTCTGACAGTTCAACTGAAGTATTTTTATTCTGTTCATTAATTAACGTATGAGATAAGATAAGTCTATCATTTACACTGATTTTACATAAATTACCCAGCAACTTTACAATGGTATCTTCAGCATTGATATCGAATTTTTTAACTAATTCAGACACCAATCTTTCAATCTCTGAAACCCTTTGCCATTTATCACTATTATAAACAGGTACTATTACTTCTTTATCCTTATTCTGCGTTTTCATCTTGATAGCTTCAACGTTTTGGATACTTCCTTGTTTAGTTACAAGGTTATACTTCTGCGCTGTCAGTCTTCTGTTAACTAAGGCAGTGTTATCCTTTGTGACATGCGTGTCTCTTGACATTGTTGGAAAACCCCCCTCATAATCTTCCAGCAAGGAGAACTGATTATTGTTATTAATTATGTATCTGTAGCTATCCATTACCTCCCTTTTGGAAAGTTTCTTAACAGTCATAATTTCTATTATTTCAGTCTCTCTCTTCCATGCAGGACAAACCATTTTTTTTGTTGAGATATACTCTACACTTCCGCATAAAATACATTTAACATCACCCTCTTTGCACTTCTCTGGGCACTTCTCCAGCTTACCGCACAAAATACACCTAGCCTTAGCTCTACAAGCCATCTTAGTGTGGCCCAGCCGACCACAATAATAACATTGTTTAGGTCTAGGAGAAAAATAGTTAACCTTGAAATTAACACAAAAAACCTTGACAGAGTCAGGCAATTTCGTGCCTTCAAAGCCTATCTTAACCGAAAAAGTAGCAATATATTTATCATTTTGATTAGGGTCCCTTCTGGTTATTCTGTGTACCGACACTACTCGAACACTAGATTCAATATTCGATATTATTTCTTCATCCGTGAAGTCTAAGGGAATTTGTCTTAAAACACCATAAGTCGTAACAAAACTATTCGGTATGAACGCACGAATACCCATCTCAATCAGATTTTTATTATTTAAAGATTTGTTTGCAGATTTAAAATCATAAAAATAAACTTTATACAAAGAACGGCCGACTGACTTAATATTCTTTAACCCCTCAATATTAAATTTTCTTATTTTGTCAAAAAGAAAAAGTCCATTTTTCATCACTTTATTTTCAAAATGACTACTTTTAGCAGTGTCCATTAGGACACAAAAATCCCCTCTGTGTCTCTCAGTGTACATGGAAACCGCATTCAATGTTTCTCGTACCCTATTATTATTCACGCCACTGTCATCCACAAATGTGCCTGCTCCTGTATTTATGAAATGTCCGTTGTTATCTGTATGTAATGCTGTTTGCATCTCATTTTGTCGTTCATTCTGACTACCATTTTGAATCCATATCTTTATACCAGAGCTGTAAAACTGTGAAATCATATGAAATTAAAAATCATCAATT